TACCAGAATCACTGCCAGGAGTATAAAACCACTTCACAGCAAGAACTAGGGTTTACTAACCCAGCCACTGAAACTGCAGCATAATGAGAACAAAGAAAAAGACAGAACAAAATGGAGTATTGTATTAAGTTCAGGCAAATGACAATGAGAGCCAGATGTGGTGTTATGGTAGTAACAGCTGGAGGAAGCTGAGGACATTAGGGTTACTTTCCTTGCTGCTTTATCTTTCTGAGTGTTACCAAGAACAACCAAGTAGCATAGCCAGTCTATGAATTGAGAATTCCTGGAGCCAAGTGCATGGCAGACACTTAGAGAGCCATATAGAAATGCAATAGACTGGATATACTTTAATTGAGCGAAGGAATAACTAAAGCCTAACATATATCTTAATCAACATTACCAATATCCTTTCTTATTAACATCAATTTGTGCCATGAAAGGTAAAAAATACATTGACCTATTAAAATTAATGCAATCTATGATGTAGATACAACAAATTTATTCATATGCAATTTTGACATTCATATCTTGACATCAGAGGTTACAAAGCTTGAAAAATGTATATATTTAAACATTAAATATTCTTCACATCACTTATTTGGTGCTTTCCTTTATTGTACTGTCAGAGAGAGTGATAATGTGACAATGCTCTTGTGGTCATCTGATTGGGAACTTGAATTTACTCCAATATTTCTTCAGTTTCATATTTAGTTTTTGATATTGTCATTATCTATCAAAAAGCACATTGGATTCATTCTCCTAAGGTATTGAAAGAATGATCTGATTTTATTTATTTTTCCTTATTTTCTTACAGAAAACTTGTGAAATCTGGGCTGTGGCTACAGTTCATTGTTAGAATGCTTACCTAGCACAAATAAGGATCTAGGTTTGATTCTCAGAATTGGGGGAAATTCCTTTTCAAAAAATTAAAAAGTTAATGTCTACTTACAAGAGGACAAAATCAATGATCTGAAAAAAAAAGACATTCCTGGAGCCCAGTTGTTAATAATTATTGTTTCAAAACAAATTAAAATAGCTATTTTCTTGAACATTGATTGGGAAGATTGTGTTCATAGTTAATAAAATTTCATGAGGTCCAATGTCTACAGGCTTCCATAATACTTTCATTCTCAAAAATAAACCCATGTAAAGAAAATGTCAGATGGCTAACTCTAAAATCAAGAATATTAAATTTTCATGTGTCTATTTTTCACCACAACACAAACACACTTTGAAAATTAATTAGCAATGGCTGCTGGGATCATATTGCAACTTCTGTACTTCATACACACTAGTGTTAAAATATCCAACTGTGCTCTTATGCTGTGCCTATTATTGTAATTCATTGTGATCCCAAAGGACATATATGACTTAATAACATGGGATTGCCATTAGATTTTCCACAGAAGAGCTTTGAAATTGGCAAATTGATCTTCAAAGATGAGGATTGTAAAGAAAGGCCACTTCCTCCATCATGTTTTTTTCTTCCTCTAGGTATTCTATTTACGTCATCTCACTTTGTATGAGTTTAATTTAAAAGAATCCAAGACTTCAGAATCAGAAACAGCTTTAGACAGTTTTTTTAATCAAGCCCTTTATTCTATTCATATGTCACCCTATTCTGTGTTATTGCTGTAAGCGGGCCCTGAGTCCAGGTCTAACATTATGAGAACACAGCTTTTTCTTGGCAATTTGAACTGCCCAGAAGTTGCTCCTTGTAAGTACGTGATATATCGTTCCCCATTTTCTTCCTATCACTGGTTTAAATTCCATCTTTTGGAGTCATGTGGAATAAGATATATTACACTGATACGATAACCTTGCCCAACTTCGTCTGGGGCCAGCTGACACATGCAAATCTTGAGGCTTAGGCTCATCTATAACTTACTAGCTGCTATATGCTTCAGAAAATATTGGAAGTAGTCTCCTCATCATTCCTAATATTTGTCACATAATAAAATTTCAGATTTGATGGGTTGGGGAGATAGCTCAGTCAGTAAAGTGTTTGTTATGCAAAAATGAAAACCTGACTTTGCATCTCCAGCCCCACATCAAAAACCTGGAGCAGAGGAAAATGTCTATCATCCGTGTCTGCAATCCCCATGCTGGAGAGGTGGATACAGGCAGTTTCCTGGGTTCAGTGAGCAGCCAGTCTTGACAAATTGATGAACTCTAGGTTCAATGGGAGACTTTGTATTGGTAAAATTATTAAGGCCACTCCACGTAGTTAAAAGGGAGGTTTATTTAGTGGCATAATTTACAAATGAAGGGAGAGGCAGTTTGCAGGGTCTGGGAAAGACGTAGCACAGTCTGGAGGTGTTCTCTGGAGAACTCTGCTCAGTCTACCTCCAGCGTCCAGGGTCCAGCAACCAAGAGAGGTGGCACATCTGGATCTCTGGTCTTTAGGGTCCTCTCTGGGCTCCGCCTTGTAGGCGTGACAGTTACCGAAGCCTCAGTGGGGTTTGGAACTTCCAGATCAAAGCTGGAATGGCTACCCACTACAACTTTGTGTAAAATAAAAGATAGAGAGCAACTGAGGAAGATATCCAACCTCCACGGACACACATACACACACTAACATGCACACATGTACATACACATAAACAATCACACACAATTTTACAACTCATTTTCTAAGCATATAAACTCATGACCAAGTGCCAACTTTTGTCTTAGTTAGGCCAAAGAGTTTCACATGAGAAGGAAGGATATAGACCAAACTGGAATGTATTCTCTACCTGCTCAGATTTCTTCAGTGAGAAAGAACGTTGGCCATAGTACCCTGAGCTTGAGACTGAAGTCAGATTAGACGGCTACTAACTGGCTGATTGTCATCCAATGCAGCCCTTGGCTGTGGGTATTAACAGAGGAGTTGTGAAGATTATAGATGAGGTGAGTCAGTTACGATCCCAAACAGTATATCAGACCTGTCAACAGCACAGTATAGTGATTACAATCAGCTATGGATCGGAAGAAGTTTCCTTTTAGGTTTCCCTGGATATCTGTGGTCAGGCTACGTGGTTGTTGGAAAGAAAATGGCTCCCATAGGAGGTGTGCCCTTGATGGAGGAAGTGTGTCACTGTGGGGGTGGGCTTTGATTTCTCCTATGCTCAAGCTACTCGCGGTTGCTTCTGCTGCCTGAAGATCGAGATATACAACACTTGACTCCTCCTCCAGCACCAAGTCTGCCTGCATGCTGTCACCATGTTCTGCCATGAAAATAATGGACTAAACCTCTGAAGTTGTAAGCTGCCCCCAATGAAATGTTTTTCCTTTATAAGAGTTGTCATGGTCATGGTGTCTCTTCACAGCAATAGAAACCCTAAGACAGGCTATTTGAATTCTCGTTCTCATAGGTCAACAAACTTTGTAACTGGCTCACCCCTACCCCTTCTTTCCTTTCTTTTGGTGCTTATACAGTGCCATTAGAAATCTCTTTGGTAGATGTAGGCTTTGTGCTTGCTGCTGTGGTGGGAGAGTTGGTTTCTCCCCTCTTAACAGTCCCAACCATTTTTGTAGAGTACTGCCTGCTGCACACACCTGTAATGGATTAAACTAACAAGAGTTATTCATCCTAAAACTGAAATGTAGATATTTTGACCACAATATCTACTCTATTTTCTCTTTCTTCTCTGAAGTCCCCGATGATTACTAATCCTACTGTCTGTTTCTATGGTAAAAATGTAGCTGATATTAGCTAAACTGGAACACTTCTGAAAAAAAATCAAATTTTGAGAAAATAATGAAGACTTTTTTTTTTAAATCTGAAAGTGAAATAAGGTTGTAAAAATGAAGCATATGAGGACAGCAGACTGTTGGTAATTCCAAACCAGGGAAAGAAAGCATCCTCCTTCCTTAGGTACCTGCAACACAAACTGCCCCTCCGCATTCCATGCACAGAGAGAAAAACAATCTAAGGGCACACACACAAAGCTTGGAACCAAGTTCACCAAAGGAAACCAGCATATTGGTGAGCTGTTTAAACTGAGACAGACTTGGTAAATGCATGACTTCAGGCAGGGTGAATCTTATCATTAGGTTATCCGTGGGAAACAAACATAAAGGGTCTGGTTTTGATGTCATGGTTTCTGCTCATTCTCTTTCATTCTGGTGTCTGGAGAAATCCAGCTAGCCAAGGTCTCTGTGTAAAACCCTGAGTGATAGAGTGCCCCTGACTGCTCATGATTTGAAAACCTCACCTTTTTTTCTGTCATGACATAACACAGTTCAAGGGTTCTCTCTCATCGATGCTTCTCATTTGATATTTTTACTTATCTTTCCAAAGCAGAGTGCCACAGTCCATCTCTCATTCTAGCCTTTCTCAACCCCTTACCTACAGTCCGTCTATTATCTAGAATTTTAAAAAAATTTGCAAACGATAACTCTCAAATCTACCTGAACCTTCTTTAGTCATCAGTTCTATGAACCCCAAGGTTACCCAGACCATTGTACTGGAAAAATCCATTAGTCTATCAAATTCCATAACCCTTCAACAGAAATTCTCTCTTTTTTTCAGAGCTCAGCTTTGCCCAATTTAAATTTGGACTTAAAACATTGCATATTCACATTTTATAATAATTAAATGTTTGTTAGGTGTTTGGAATATGTCATGTTAATCTGAAAATTATCTCACCTAGGTCATTTGTATCAAATGAACTTGAAAATTCACAAATTAATGACTAAATTCATCCAGAAAGGTTGTTGTAAAGATGCAAAAGACTATGTGTAAAAATCTAGGGCAGTAATTAATATATTAAAGGAATGTGACAAATAAATAATAAATTCATTAGACAATGACTTAGGTGTGGAATTTCTAATATTTTATTGTATGAAAATTTTGTACATGAATACAGCTTATTTTGTTCATTTCTACCTCTGACACCTCCCTCCTCCTCCTCCTCCTTCTCCTCCTCCTCCTCCTCCTCCTCCTCCTCCTCCTCCTCTTCTTCCTCCTGAATTCACCACCACATAACTTGAAATTTCATGGCCTTTCTCTCTCTTTGTCTCAGTGGGTAGTGAAAAATTTTTGCAAAATTACTTAGATTCAGTTCCAAAATGGATATAACATTGACAATCATGTTTGCTCTCTCTCTCTCTCTCTCTCTCTCTCTCTCTCTCTCTCTCTCTCTCTCTCTCTCTCTCTCTCTCTCTCTCTCACACACACACACACACACATTTATATATAGATATAGATATCCCACTGATTTCAGTTATTGTTGTCCATTGATAAATGGGTGTGGGGCCATCCACTAGATTATGAGACACCTGACAACAGCAAGACTTCCAAAGAAAAATGACTCTTCTTACCCTAATAACCATCTTCTGCCAATAGCTCCTTAGGTGTAGGGGGAGCCTTGTGAATGAAAATACTGGAGTTTTGTCTGGATTGACTTTCTATGGGTATTATTCAGATATCCATAGCTAATGTGATATCATGGTTATTGCAAGTTATAAAATGTCCAGAAGACAATATTTCATAGCTTTCATCTTCATCCTATTCTCCTATATTCTGCCCCCTCTTCCTCAATGCTTCCTGAATCTCAGTAGGGTAATAAGTTGATAAAGATGTTCCAACTAGGGCTGAAAACTCCAAGTGATATGCTTTCAGCATCTTGAGCAGTTATGAGACTTTGCATTAACTGCTATCTACTGTAAAAAGTTTTTTTCTGATCAGGGCTGAGAAAAGCATAGATCTATGTACATAAACAATCATTTAGAAGGCAGTTTGATAATATTATCATTTGAAATAATAATAGTAGGTTTCTCATTAATTTCTATGGCATACCAGGACATGACCTTTTGACCAGGTTTACAGTAGTGTACATGAAAGCCCTCCTGTAGAACAGGCCTCAAATCCAATCAGAAAGTGACTGGTTACTCCCGTATCAGTCATTTCACTCTTGAACCAGAGGGAATATCCTTCATGGAGGTCTATATTGTAACTCACAAAGTGAGCTGTTGGGTAAGTCCATTGGTGTCTTTCTTCCTTTAGTAGTATGTATAATGCCTTTTGGCATCAGGAAAGCTACCCAAAAAGGGGGAAGCTTCCCAGTCAGCTCTAGATTGATTTCTCTATGTCCTTCAATAAAATTGCATGATATCTTCAGCAAAAGGATCTTACCATGTAGTTTTGATGGGTTATCAAAAACAATAGCAATAACTTGTCTTCTATTGGGGATCTCTGGGATCTATGTGAGCAGTAACTTATAGGGGAGGTATCTTATTCCTAGCACTGAAAATCTTGTTTAATAATTTATGTCTTATGAAAGTAGCAATGTCTACCCATACAGGGTACTCCTGTTCAAACAGAAATTGAAAGTTTTCTTTTCCCCTTGACCACCATTGTAAGTTACTTCCTGGCTTTGAGACAAAAAACTTTCGAGACTTAAAGACTGTCACATGCACATATGTAGAGATTAGGGCATTTTACAGTGATCTACCTTGGGGGCTAGGAATATTAGTAAATAGAATAGAGCCATGGAGCTGGGCAAACAAGCTGTTGCAGCTCAGTGTCCTTCTTTACTCACATGGAGCTTTCGTGTTCCTCGACGTGTGAAAGCAAGTTAGAAGCCACACAGATTATGCACCATCACTGTCTCGCTTCGTGCTAGGGTTCTGAAAGAGGCTTGTGAATTGGTGATGAAAAGCAGAAGTACCAAATAAGCTGTTGCTGGGATTGGCAAGAGTTAGCACACTGTTTGTCTCCTTTCAGTTCCTTCTAGACTTGGAGGAAGATTCCTTCCCAGTCAGAGAATCTGAGAGTGTTACATTCAGGAGATGTCACTGTAAAACCACAAAAGACTGGCAAAAATGATTGTCCTTGGGACAAAATTATCAGGGGTGATATTAATGGTTCATTTGGTCTACGTTACAACAGAGAAATATTTCTAACAAGATGTTGGTCAAAGACAACATGGAATCAGAAAAATAGCCTTGCTTAAAATAAGAATATGTATTATCAGCTAACCTGTTTTGAGTGACTGGTTTAATCATGTCTTCGTCAGTTGGAAACCGTTAGATGTTTACAGAAAAGCAGATGCATGTAGATTTGTCTGCATGGCAACACTAAGAACAAGAGACAGAACCAGCCTTCCTCATTTACATTGCAGTGATATTTCAAGACAATTAAAATCTGCTTTGAAAAAGTTAGACTAAAATATGAGTTTATCATCTCAGTGATATCTGGTGTATGCATCCAGAAGAGACAGATCTCGTTACAGGAATGAAAAAACACCGTAGTTCAAAACCTCTTTTTTTTTTTGTTTATCAAAAAGCGATTTATTTATACCACATACCCCACAATTATCCTTGCCTGTTTGAAAGACCAAGGACTCAGGATGATTATTTATAATACAAGAGTAAGAGAACAATTACAGAGATCACCGCAGAACTATTCCTTACTGAATTTCCCACCAACTTTGGAAAGCTCCCAGAAAAAAGTGAGAGGAAGAATCTGAGACATGATTAAGGAGGCTATGGTGATGAAGTACCACAAAGATCTCTACTTAAGAAGGATGTGTGGGCTCTCTGGAGGACCATTGAAAGAGTTCCCATTTTACTCATATAACACAGTCCATTATGCTCGTTTGGGATATGACATACAAAGGACCTGTCAATGGCTCAAAGTAGACCTTCAAAGTTATAATTAACCAACCAGCTTCAAATGAATGGCTTTATTTACTCATATGTATTTTTATATCAGACTCTTTCATAGATGCTTCATATCTGTTCAATCCATCTTCCCAAAGACATGTCCAAAATGATAAAATTAATTCTGTATTACATGTATGAAGGGTTATTACATTGCAAACTTCCTGAAAGCCATTTGATACAATGGCTTGAATGAGACTTAAGTTAATTTCCAGTACCTTCTAGAAAGGATTATGGATAAGCTGGGAAGAGTATATATTTTCTAAAGAAAATTAAGACTTCATAATTGAGAAAAAATCTCTAGTGAGCAGTGTAGCTCGTATAATAAATTTGAAAGCTATTTTTCAGTTTAGATAAAGTTTGGTTAAATGAGAAAACACACCAGAGTGGATGACTTCCTAGTTATTTTTCTTGAAGGGGCAATTATAAAGGAAACCCTGACTTATTGCTAATACACTTCAATGCGAGGTTTGTTAGGTGGGTGTAGCATGGGAAGCTGGAGTGCTCCACTTAGACTCTTTAATGCAACTTATCTCTACTCAAGAACCTCAAACAGGGAACTGGAGGAAAGTGGGCATCTCTACACCACAATTCTTTAATCAAGGAGGAGCCCACTTGACTTCTAGTACTGAATGCAACTCCTGTTCTCAAGCTATGCATGAGTAGTTAGAGAAATAAAAAAAATAACAGAAGAGTAGAAAGACTGGGTGTGTGTGGAGAGAGAGAGAAGGAAAAAGAGAGGGCGATGTGAGGAGAGAGGTAGATTGCAAGTCTGAGAGCAAGCAGAAGGGGAAGGAGGGGAAGGGGGATGAAGAGGAGGAAGGGTAGATAAAGAAAGGACTGAAGAACATTTTCTCACACTGATTTTAGCAGGAGTTTTAGTAGCTATATAAACAGTACAATCCCCCAATCCCTAGAAGAGCAAACCAAAGAAAACACACACACACACACACACACACACACACACACACACACACACACACACACACACACAGACAATTCTTCTCTCCTCAGATTTCTTCAGAATATCAAATAGAAAGGATGCTTAATGACACCATCATTATTGACTGGGGTATGTTCCCTTTTCCACAGAACCGGCCCTTGAAAAAAGTCTGTAATACACATGGAAGACAACCATATACAGAATGTTCTCTTCCTTGACTTTTCCTTCATTCCCTTGAATGACTAAATAACTAAGAATCAAATATTGTTGCTCGTGCTATAAATGAATAAGTCGAATACTACTTAGGTACATAGAAGAAACTTGTTTAAGCAGAACTTAAGGTTGTAGTTTGACTATGATTACAATTATTCAAGATAAATATCTAAAGTTTATCCTTTCAAAAAAGGATAAAACCCAGCTTCAGACTTTTCCTCAAAATGTTGTTTGCAACTTTTTTTGTACAAATGTTCAGGGAAAAGAGATATTATGTCATAATTCATCAAAAACCACTAGAATGCTACATAGACCCCTCTATAAACATGGTTTTCCAAACCATATTATAAACTTTGAAAACTATCTCTCTCACGAATTACTTAAGTTGACAGGGATGAAAATTACAAGCTGCTGCTTACCTACCTCTATAATATGCCAGGTCAGAATCCAAACTGAACTTGTAAGTATGTAAGGTTTGCTAAAAACCTATGCAGAACTGTTCATTGCACCAACATGTATTGCTATTAGCAGAAGCTCCAATTCACTATCCTGGTGAAAACTGGTCTAAATTCTATCCACTTCCCCTGTTTTTGGTGATGGTAATCAGGGGGTGGATACTGACTATTGATTTATGTTTGTATCTGAGAAAAATGAGACTTCTGGAACTTTTATTCAGCATTGACCAAATTTAAGGCAGTTTCAGAAATGTTACTTAAACATTTTCTCCATTAGTCATGAGAGAGGATGGGCATAGGAGTATTTGCCTATGAATCCCAGCAGTGGTGTGGCTGAGACAAAACATTTGTACAATGTTCCAGCACCCTTGTTTAAAAAGCCAGGACAACAGCAATATCAATAAGAAAAAGCAGAAGGAGAAGGAGGAGAAAGAAGAGAAACTGGAAGAAGACAGGGAGGAGGAGGAAGAACAACATCATAGGTGCTTGGTTTCAGAACCAAGAATTCAGAGAAGCACATGAGAATTGCTATGAAATTGGAACTTTCCAATAAGCCCAAGTATGCAAACCGAGAAACTAGAAATAGTCCTCAGAGGGGAGCTGAGGAAAAAAAAATAACCCAGAGAACTGTCAGGACAGGGCATGCTCAGATTCAGTCCTGACACTGACCTTGAAGTACATACAGTATGAATGTATTTCATGTTTCTGAAATATGTGGGGATCATCTTTAGAATATGTTTTGTGGCATCATGACTGGTATTACTTGTCTCCTACTTGTGTTTCTACAACTGTCTCCTCCCCACCCCGTAGCCA